TGTCAATTATAATGTCTTAACTAATAATAGAATATCAGAGAGTGGGCCCAAATGACTAGAGCTTTTCTTCTGAAAAGATCCCCAATGATTCTTTTGCACACCACATTTGAGAAGCACTGATCCCAGTGTTCAGATATAATTGTACATTGACCCGCAATTAAATTTCTGCCCCAATTGTTCTGTAGAATATTCCAGTATTTTCATAGAAGTCTCTCATTTTGTCTTGCTTCAACTTATGCATGATTTAGGGCTCTTTCTTTCTTTTTCCTCTGGTGTCACTTTTAATTTTCAGTATAATGATAGAAAAAGAGAAATAAGACACTTGAGTTTGAGTATCATCACATTTGTAATCTACGTGGTCTCTCCTTGGCATAGTCAAAGGATAAGTGACCAACATGAAGTAATTCTAAAGGAACATTTTGACCTTAAATTATTTTATTTTGTTAGAATTGTACTAAACATCTTTGATTCTACCATGTAAGTTTTAGTATTCTTTATGTTGTATGAATAAATATTCCATTTACTTGGCTTGGTCTAGGGACTGCAAGGTTTTTTGTATGTGTTAGTTTGTTTTCCCTTCTTTTTCTGGAAGTTTTCTTTCCTTTGACAATTTCTCAAGGTTCTGTTCTAATATCCTGAATAGGACTGGATATCTTCCTTACCTTTGCCTCTGGATACAGTGATGCCAGAAGCTAAATTCCATTTAGTGTAAAATAAGTGGTTTTATACAATCGCTGAATTCAGTTTATCCACAGAGGATAGTGACTATAATTATGAGTTAAGTCTTTGACCAGGTTCACAATCACTTAGTATTTGTCCCAAAGTTTTAACACTTCACTCTCTGACTCTTTACTTTTAAGAATTTTTCTCACCCTTGCCTGAAATCTTGTGCCTGCTGCCTATCAATTCAGCATTAATTTCCTTTGTTTGCTGTTTGACATACTTGGAATTGGTCATTCCTTAGAGGCTTCAAGTTCTGACATCTCCTTCCTTCCTTTTCTTCAATTAGGGTTATACGGGGATGATAATGATGACATGGAGAAAGAAGGAATTTCTTGGAGTTAGCAGGAATTCTGGAGGGAGCCTGAGCCAGACTTGTCTGTGAGACAGATTAACCGGTCTCCTCCCTACCCTTTCACCCAGGGCCATTTTCCATTCCAGAATTATCATAAAGCTGGCCAAAACCTGTCCCTAGGTGTGTGGATGGGGGCAGTAGGCGCTCAGCAATTCCAATTAGCTGTCTAATTTTAACTTGGCTTCTGGTCAGAGGGCTTCATCTCACAGCTCGTTTCAAAGACCAGAGTGAACAATCAAGTGGGTTACCTTGGGCTTATCTTGGCCTGCCCCAGAGATTATGGTCAATTACACTTGAGGGTCATTTTCAAGCAAGACAGACTCAGGAATTGAAATGGAGGCTGTGAAGCAAACATGCGTTTTTATCCCAACTGGGAAATGCTTATCAAAATAGTTCTTAGTTATCAAGTAAGCACAAAGTGCCTGGAAATGACGTTCCCGGCAAGGGGAAATGGCCCAGCTGTGCTTTTTTTGGCTTTCTCTCATCTGCTCAACAGGAAAAATATTAATCAATGGGAAAAAGCTCTCTTTCTGTTCATTTAGCACATGAGTTTTAGGTAGTGTGGGAAATTGTAGTACCTAATGCTTTTACATCACAATTCTAATTATTACATGGATTGCAAAGAACTTTTTAGAAAATTACTTTTTACTTAAGCTACAAATTCACACTTTTAGAAATGTTTTATTTTCTTGATGGCATAGCTAAAAACCAGAGAGAGAGAAAGTTCCAGAGTTCCCTATGGTCTTGTAGTCATGGTGAGCAATAGTGGAGGAGAAGAGGTCTGATGACCCCTTGTTGCTTGGACAACACCTTTTTTTTTTTTTTTTTCCCCGTCAACAGGGAAGCAATTCTCAATTTAGTGTTTCCTCATACAGAAAATTAGCAAGCCTTCTCCAAGGAGATAAATACCAAAGACAAGAGTCCTATAACTGGGCTTTCCATATGTGTGTGTGTGTGTGTGTGTATATATATATATATATTTTTTAACTGCCTCCTCCCAGCTCTGCAGCCATCCAGGATTGTGGGCACTCCCACAGCTCCTCAAGAGAGCTGAGGTAGAGCGGAGACATGAACCCAGAGCCTTCCTACATGGTCTCTAGGATTATGCAGCAACACTCCTACTATCTGCACCACTGTGGCTGTGCCTGGGCTTTCTATATTTCGATATCTCTCTATGCTTACTTTTTGAATTTTTACGGGAGAATGACTTACATACAGCAAAATGCACACATCAGAATTGTTCAGCCTGATGCATTTTTACTGATAGTTCCACTTGTGTAACGATCTATCTCTGTGCCTCTCTTTTTCAAGGTGATGAGGCTTCGCAAACTGGCTCAGCAGATTGCAAACTGCAAACAATGCATTGAGCGGTCAGCATCACTCATCTCCCAAGCAGAACACTCTCTGAAGGAGAATGATCATGCCCGTTTCCTACAGACAGCTAAGAATATCACTGAACGGTAAGTGCAGGGGCTGCTGGGAAGTTCTCAGCTTCTGGGCTCTTGTGTCTTGAGGGTGATTGGTTGGCCTTACTGTTGCCTTACTTTTGTTTTCATTTTTAAGGCTGTGTACCAGAGAGTAGAGTGGCTTTCAGCTGTTTTGTTCCAGCTAAAGATGCTTCCCTTTGACATGTCAAAGCCCTTTCAGTAACAGCCTGTGATGCCTTTGAAACAAGAGTCCATCAGTTAGAAAGAATAAGTCAACCTGCTTTTGGGGAGGCAGCTTAGGATGGCACAAAAACAGCATTTATTGTGACTCTCAGACCTGATCTTATCTGTCATAGCCTTGATAACAAAAATTCCAAACACAAAAGGGAATCTTTTCTTCCATCTTAGGACTCCTCTGTTAAAAGTACAAACAAAACAAAACAAAAATCAGGAGTAGTTCTTTGTCAGGCCCATTTTTATTTGGTTGGGCAGTTTGGCCTTGCCTAAAAATGTCAAGGTTGACTCATGAAGGAGAGAAAGAACCACACTGTCAACCTCATACTGCCAGTGTTTCAAATATCCTCTATTCTAGGGTAGGGAACTTGATAACAATATTGTCTGAATGGTGGGCTCAGCAGTAAAAGTGGTCAAGATTAGTATTCCTTCAGTACACATATTGATCAGCATAAAAGCTACTCAGCATCACTGATACAAACATTATGGCATTTCTAGTGGATCCAAAAAGAAGCACCAGGTTGTACAAAAAATGCCTCAGAAATGACACCTCCAACAGGAAAGCCAATGGCCATGACTTTTCATTTAGTCTAATTTTCAGAGTCCAATTCTTTTTATCCAAAGCAATAATAGAATCCTATAACTCTATCAGAGAGCACCATCATGCTGTTCTTTATCCGCAGAGTCCAGCAATTTTTTTCTCTAATGGACCAGAGAGCTAATATTTTCAACTTTGCAGGCTATAAGGTCTCAACTCCTCAGCTCTGTCATTGGAGTGCCCCACCAGCCATAGATAACACAGAAATGAATGAGTGTGGCTATGTTCCAATAAAACCGTTTCAAAAGACAGGCTGTAGACTCTACTTTGTCAATACCGGTAGGGGAAAAATACCATCACATGACTTGAATTTTTTCAAGGAAGGAGAAAAGAAGCTAACATTTCTTGAGTGTTTGCTTAAGTTGAAAGATCTGAAGGAAGATATGATAGTAGGGAGGACAAGTGTAGATACTAGAGACTGTAAGGGAGGGAAGTGGATAGTAGAGGATGAGTGTGAGGGGCAAAGAGATGAAACAATAGAAAAAAGAATGTAGTTACATGGCCAGACCCAACGACTTGAAACTCACACCAGGCACGCATTCATGCATGCCCGCAATCCTGAGAGGAGAATGGAGGAGGCGGTATTGTGGCGTGGCCATCCCCCGGGGTGGTGATTTCTCACTTTCTCTCTCTCCACTTCTCTCTTTCAAGCACATGCACTCTGTAGCAAAAAATCTCTCAAATTAAAAAAAATTAATTAAAATGATATAAATGGTAATATCCTTGATTTGAGTGTCTAGTATTTAATGTATATGTTGAAAAACTGTATTGTACACTATAGAGATGTATAATGATGAAATTTAAATTTAAAAAAATGAAACAAACTGTGCTAATTGTGAAAATACTGCATAGAGGTAGGCATTGATATTCCCATTCTCACTGTTCTTTAAGAGTAGCATATCCTGTTTTTATAACTCCACTCTTCTATCCAGCAGCTCAACTACGTTATTTCTTGTATTTGAGAAAAATTCATTTTGCAGCTGATTAGATACTCATCTCATCTAAAGGACATGGATAACAGCTGGCTCTCATCACTTTTATAGCCTTAAAATGCTCTCCTCCCTACTCTAAGAAAGGCCAGTTTCTTTTCTTGTGACTCCTAGGTTCCAAGTTTGTTTTTACTGCACTTGTCTGGATCATATCCAGTTAGTCAGTATTCACCCTGAAGTTAAAAACTCCAAACAGCCCTAATACTCCAGTGTACCCAGAACACTAACAGTGTTTACACTTACATCATAGAATAAGAGTACTTTTCTCCACCTGTGAATTGTGAGATATCCAGGTGTAGTGGCTACTATGAGTTGTATTCCTCAGCACTCCCTAAAAATTCAACCAAGTGTCACATGAATACATTCTCACCTAGTGACAAGAAAGAATGTGACCCCACGTAGCATTACTGAAAGAAGACCTGCATTTGAAGTTTAGCATGAATGCGTGAATGCCCGCATGTAGTCTCTCTCAGATCCAGCTGGGCATATCTGGTCTCATTCAGCACTCAGTATAATAAGCCCATCTCGTCAAGAACAGGAATGTGACTTTGATTTCTCTTTCTACAAAGAACATGCTTCAGTAAGTTGAATTCATAGTCACTGTCAAGATTTGCTGGGAGCTTTGCCCATCTGCTTCTGCAAGCCCCTCTCTTCCCGTCTCTGATTCACAATCCATTTGGTTAATTCCTGAGCCTTTCTCTTTTTTCTAGCAGCTGGGATGTAATAAAAGCCACTGGGCTTGGACTAGGAGTTGGGAGACCTGGCTTCAAATCCTAGCACTTCCACTTTTTAACAGTGGCTCTTTGAGCTATTTTCTACTTAGAAATTTGGGCTTATGATAGCTCTCTCCACTGTGGTAACATTGCTGAACATGCGTAAGAACGGTTTGGAAGTATTATAGATTCTAATTGGCTCTCTGGCTTTTTTTTAAAGAATTATTTTAGCTTTATTTATTATTGTTATTATTTTTCAATTTGACCAGAGAGAGGGAAAGTGAGAAAGGAGCCACAAGGTCTGGGACCTGAACCATGGTTGGCCATGTGGGAGTCCAGCACTTCTAACCACTGTGCCACCTGTCAGCCCGGGTCTCTGTTTTGATATTCCACTATGTCAGGTGATGCCTCCTTATGTGTCTTTGCTCTGATGCTATTCTGTCTACCTCCCTATTCTTCGCCCTGTTACCTAGCGTTCTTCTCTCGGATGCGGCTTCCTAATTCTATCTCCTAGCATTGTCTGCCTTTGCTGTTGGCATCTGTATACGTTCAAACCATCTGTAGTTTTCTGCTCAAATATGAAACTGAGAACAAATTTTACTCCTGCAGACATTCTTAAAGTGAGACTTAGATGAGATTTTTCTCCATCATTAAATCAGGTAAAATGGATATGTTTTCCTACAAGCTGCATCAACACTGCAAAAACTGTTTTTCAATTCAAAAACATCAAAAAACTCCAAAATGAGAGAGAGCCTCAAGTTTTGTAGGAGAGCTGTGTACTCTGGAATCAACCATTTAAATGGCTCTGTGCAAACTGGTCGGTAATTATGGAAGTCATTGGGTTGCTCATTAACACATTCGAGTCTAATTTTGCTCATATACTCCGAGTGGACAGGAGCCCCAGCACACTGTAAACTGACTAGCATAAATGAATGAGTGAAGAAATGAAGCTATAAAACAGGACCAGCTGTTTATACCTAATATGGTTGCTGCTGGGGTAAAATGAAATAATGTAGTAAAAACATTACCCCAGTTCCTGTCACAAGGTGAACATGCCAAACATGCTAATTCCTTTCTTTACCACTCACTAGATGGATGCAAATATAGTAGAGATGCACTACATTAATACACTTAATCTCTGTCAAAAGGCCAGATTAATGTATGGATTTTGGGTGTGATTATATATGTGCCCTTATAACATTATGTTAATAAGCAAAACTTAACTAAATCCAGGTATAAGAAAGTTAGTTTACTGTTTATGAAGAACCTAAAATTCAAATCACTTTTAGAAGCAAATTATCTAGAGGATGGTAAAAAGAACATTGAACAGTACCCATTTTTCAGAGCACATCAGAGCATCTCAGGCTCCAAGGATCCCCGCACTCCTCACTGCCACAGGCATTAAGGACCTGGCAGGCTTTTCTAAAATGTAAAGCCAAGAACTCCAGTTGTCAACTTCAGGAACGTGTCTCTTATTTCTACAAATTGGAGTGCATCTGATGAGTGCTTTTTGAAGTGTGTTCTGCAAGGTGTGTCACGGGCATTAAAACAGCAACAAGACTCCAGGGCTAAATATGTTTGGGGGATCCTGAGCTAACCAAAGTAAAGTGCACTTTGTTCCTGTGAAACAACTGAGGTGATGTGTGCACTGTTTGGCAGAAGTTCCATGAGCAGCATAGCTCTAGACATAGCCATCTTCTAGAAAACTAGCCGCATGTGGCCACTAGCCCCTAAGTGTCATGAGGATTAGGAACATCAAAACAGAAACAGAAATAGGGAGTAATGTGCAATTCACCTTCTTCAGCTTCAGGGCAGAGCATGATGCTCTTATTTACTCTAATGTGTTACAAAGAACTTACACACACCCACGTGTACATATGTACACTACATACACACGCACATAGCGCTAACAGCCCTAGTGGATTTTGGCAATTTATCTAAAAGGCCAAAGATGGGCAACAAGGATTTGAGAAATCAAAACATGGCCTAAAATGTTGAATTTGGCAGATTTCCCCTTGCTTGTCATTCCTGTTAAGAATTAGAAACTATAGCCAAAGATATGTATCTTTCCTTCCATCAAAAAAAAAAATGTAGGTGTTAAAAGCCGCAGTAATCTCCAAAGATTCTCACTGTCAGTCTTTGCTCTCATGCCAGGAGCTCTCATTCTTTTAGTTCCCACCCCACAAAACTCCTGCCATCAAAATGGCTGCCATCATTACCAGCGTCATCTAACTAAAGTTATGTTTTACTTTATTGCTTGTGAACCAAGAGATACTTGGAAACAAAATCTGTTTTTTTTTTTCAAGAGGTTTTTGCTATAGGGCGCATGTGCTCGCCAGACACACAGAAAGAGACAGAGAGACAGAGAATGAGAAATCACCCCCCAGGAGTTTAAGCCACCGGTTTCAGGATGCGAACCACGGTCAACTACATGAGAGTCCAGCGACATAGCCATTACGCTAACTGCTGGTCCCCAAAATCTGATTTTGATGAGCCTGAACAAAGAGGCTTCTGCCACTGCAGAGGAGAAGTGCTAATGCCAGTTATCTGTTCAGGACGATGGAGCCTGTTGAACACAAAGTTCTGTGCCACATGTGATGCAATCCCAAGTTTAGTGCTTGGACCATGATAGCTCAGTGCAGTGCTCCCTGCTGGTCATTACGAAAAAGAATGAATTCAGGTTTCACTTGGAAATATTTTTTGACAAGTTCAGATGGAGACATAGCATTTCTTTTCATTTTCTTTATCGATTCATATGTTTTGGGCTCTTCAGTATGTGGCATACTTTAAGGGCTTTGTAAATATTTGATGAATATCTGTTGAAAATAATCTTAATCTTCTTTGAATTTTGAGAACTCTTCTTTGCGCATGGGTCTTAAGGAAAGCAATTTTTAAATGCAGTTTGACCATCTGTAGAAAATGCCTAGCAACTAAGCCTGTATCCATCACTAAATCAGCTGCTGTTAGTAACAATGATTAGTCTAATTCTTTTGGGTACACTGTTTAATCAACAAAATCACAGAACTCAGAGTCAAAATTAGATTTTCCACTCTTGTTCAAACATTGGAAACTTCATTCCCTTTTATAGGCTAACTACTATTCCATTGTGTGGATATATACAGATATAATTTTTATAATCAGGATATGTTATCCTTATAAACATCGAAATCTTTAAGAACCATGATAAGATTTAAGAGGAGATATCACCCTTGGCGTAACCAGGCTGAAAATTGTCCAGATTAAAGGGAAGATTGCAGACCTAAAATTCTCCTGATGGCTGCCAGCCAGCTTTGTGGCCTTGTATAAATGACTATCAGTGCTCTTCATTAGAACATTAATAACTGTTAGGTCATTGGGAAACCGATGACATATTTTTGCAAAGAAAAATGTAGCATGACTTTCCCAGTGATCCAATAGACTTAGCATTAAATCATGTCAAAGTTGTTTTTTTGCTCTCAAATCCCAATGCCCTGCGTAATACCCACGTGTGGTAAAGGAGTGTTATTTACAGAATTTAAGGATATACCAAACTCAATCAGATTACGAGTTCAGCAGCATTTGACATGCTCTGCAGTTGTAACTTTCATGCTACAATTTTCTAGTTTTTAAGAGAATCACTTGCATTTTCACATTAGTCAGAATGTTCACTATTAATAACTGAACTTTGTAAACCAATGTAAGAATACATAGAGGATTGATACATACCAATACCTTGCTTTAGGTTTAATTTATACGAGAAAATTCTAACCATGCAACCTAAACGAAGAGGAGAAACAGTACGTCTACTGGGGGGGGGGTTGTAAGAAAACTCATGAATAATTTTCCATTGCATCTGCTGGGAATATGGTGCAAGAAAATGAATACAAGGAGAGAGAAAGCGAGCCAGACAAAAATGCCATTTTTAATGTTTATTTTAGAGAGAGGCTAGTAATTGATTAAACTAATCCAATATCTGGAAACATTCTTTTTCAATCTTCACTTTGCCTTTTATGCAGTTTGAAATTTTGGAGACTCCCCTTTGAAGTGGAGCAGGGCCGAGTCTGAAAGGAACAAACAGTTTCCCAGACAGATGTGTGAAGAAATGCCTGGAGCTATGTGCTTCTTGCTAGGGTTAGATGTGAAGGGGCCAGGCTGTTAAATACACAGCAACATGAAATATGAATATTCTTTTGCCTCCATAGGGAATTTTTTTCCGATGGTACAAAGGAAGGGGAAAAGCCCTTCTGTTGTTTTCCCCAGTTCTGTATTTTTCTTTAAGTGTGCACCCGTTTGCTTTGTGTTATCATGTTGTGCCATTCCAAGATGCTTCTTAAGACTGACATGTAAAAATAGCACTTTTTAAAAAGTGTTATTTCTTTTCCATTTTTTTCATTCCTACGCAGTGATGCTGAAAGCCATCTTAATGTTTCTAAAAAGTTGTTTTGTTTAAATTACAGAGTTTCCATGGCAACTGCATCTTCCCAGGTCCTAATTCCTGAAATCAACCTCAATGACACATTTGACACCTTTGCCTTAGATTTTTCCAGAGAAAAGAAGTTGCTAGAATGTCTGGATTACCTTACAGGTATTGTCTTTTATGTTCTCTTTAATATTGTGTATATTCAGTGACACCAGCACTTTGCCACCAATCCGTTATTTTCTAAAAGCCAGAGGCATGGGTTTTCGACTTAGGAATGGTATATAATGTTCCGTAATTAATTTCCATGCACTTCCTTTAAAACAAAACAAAACGCACTGCCCAGGACTAAATTGAGGACAGGGGAAAAAAAGAGATCCTTGATTACTACAAAACATACTTACCACCATTTCTCTCACTCTTAATGTGTAGGTGCTAAAAATAATATGTCTGTTGGCCATTAGAGAGATATGTAAGGTTGCGTGAGTCTTTTTCATTTCATGATAATAAGGCATACAATGCTCAGAGTACATCAATAGAGAAAAAAAATAGCAGCTAACTGACTGGATGTCCACCGTGCTGTAGCTCTTTGTATTTGTGACCTTGTTTTAATCTTCACAACATCCAGTTGTGGTAAAGCATTATAATCCTCATTTTGCAGGTGACAGAGGTCAGCCATGTTGTTGGAGGTCAATTACTAGTGAGAGGTAGAATTAGGATTTGGTCTGAGTCTGTACAGATGGTAAAGACCTCTGTTCTTTTTGGTAAAAGACTTAATTTCATCTTGGCAGACATCAGTTACAAAAATCACATTGAAATACTGAGCCATGTTTCAATCCTGTGTTTTCTTATTGGGATTTTTGGGGGGGGCAAGCTTCGAAAGCAAAACAAAACAACAACAACAAAAAAAACCTCAGGCCACTCCTATTTCTAACCATGCTTTTAAACTTTTTCTTTGCTGTAAGCTCTAAAGCAAGAACTGAGCCCATTTGCTGGTAGAACCTGGGCTGTTTAGACAACCTTATTTGTGTTAGCCAAAGCCACTGGTGCCTATGACTTCAGGAAAGCACAGTGCACACACTGAAGCCAGATGTGCAAAGCACTTAGGGTATGTAGCCTTCAAGAAACCACATCCCTAACTTCGCATGACGTCACCTTCTTAATTCCAGTTGTCTGTGTGCATATGTGTGCGTGCGTACGTGCGTGTGTTTATGGGAGAGAGATTGGGAGAAGTGGAGCAGGAGAGATGTAACATCCTGTGATGGTTGTTTTAACAATCTGTGGGTAGAAAGCAAGGGTCTATATTCCAGAAACATTATGTCCAAAAGATCCAAGTTTTGTTTTGCTTTGTTTTTTTCAAAGACCTAAGGTGCTGTTTTTAGCCTTTCTGCATTTGCAAGAAAAGCACGTCACCCCATAAACTTCTTATCTTATGTAATTCTATCTTGCAAACATACCGCTCCTATTAAGGAAGCAAGAAATCGATTCAAAATGCATTTACAGTAAGGAACCAAACTTGGTTTCAAATATTTATGAATATAGTGCCTACCTTTTTAAGCTTTTAACTCAGAAATTTATTTAAACTAACACTATCCAATAGAACTTTACACAATTATAGAAACCCTCTATATTTTCTTTATCCAGTGTGTTAGCTGCTAGCCAGCTATTGAAAGCTGGAGATGTGGCTAGTGAATTTTTGCTTCTATTTAAGTTAAGTTTACTCCTATTTATTTCTATTTTAGTTAAATTTAATTGAAATTTACACAGCCTCATGTAGCTTGTGGCTACATCATTGAACAGAGCACTTCTAGATTTTCTCTGAGCTGCTTTTCACAATGACATTCTGTTAAAAATCCCCTTTTTCCTTATATCGTTTGAGAATCAGATTGTAAGCGATAGAAAATCCAACTAACAGTGACTAAACCCATCAAGGAGTGTTTGTATAACAGAAACAGAGTAGAGATATACAGTCCAGGGCTAGGCAGCAGTTCAGTGATGACCTCAGACCCCACATTCTTTCTCTTTCTTTGCCTTGCCATATTCATTGTGTTGCCTTTTTGCCACATGATTGCAACATGACTACTCCACCTCCAAGCATTATGCACAGGTTCTAGGCAGAAAGAGAAGGATAGGGAGGGAAGATCGACATGTTTGTCTTTTGTTTATCAGAAAACAGAAAGCTTGCTCAGAAGACTCACCTAGGAAACTTAAGTCTCATGGGCCAGATTCATGTTACAAAATCATGGCCAAGAGCAGAGAAGTTGGAAAAGTTAGTATTTGCCTGGGCACATGGCTGTTCTACCCCAAATAAATGCCTTGTTGACAAAATGTGTACTCCCCATTTCCCAATAATTGCTTAATAGTATTTCAACAATATTGAAATATTGCCTATTTTAGTCTCTATGGGGATGTGAAAATATTAATTTAAGAAGTTGTGAAAATAGTTTGCACTGAATTATCATACGTATGCCATATATCATGCCAATGGTTGTTTATGCCAAACTTAAGGCCAGATGGGGTACCTGCTATTCTGCCTCCTAAGCTGCCAACCTCAAACACAAATTCAGGCTATTTCTAGACATAACATTGATCCTGGCCATAACATACGATGCTTGGCTGATACTGCCAAGTCCAAATAGTTTATCAGACATTCACAAGCAGGAAATGAAGTGTTTGTGGAATATTAGCTCACCATTCCTTGTGTGGTGTTTGTGACAGAAGCAAGAAAATAACAGTTCTGGGATGAATTCCGTGAGTATTGAAACCGGAAGCATGCTGCTGTCCTCATTCACAATGAATTGCGTATTGACTATTCAGGACAAACTCATTGAGTTTTATAATCAAAAGAGTGTTGGGAACAACAGTTAGTGTAATGGCTATGTAGCTGAACTCCCACGTAGTTGACTGCAGTTCAAGTCCCAGACCCGGTGGCTTAAAATCACGCTGGGCACGTGTGCATGCGTGCCCAAGATCCCGAGAGGAGACGAGGAAAAGGGATTGTGGTGTGGCCATCCCCCCTGGGGGGCGATTTCTCGCTTTCTGTCTCTCTGTCTCTCTGGTGAGCATACATGCCCTATCCTCTCCAAAAACAATAACAGTGTTAGCCTTCCTGGTGGTGAAAACAAGGTTTGTTGTTGTTGTTGTTGTTGTTGTTCCTATGACATGCCTCTAAGTGGTATGTCAAATTAACCCATAAAGGTGGCATTTCCTTCCTGATTGTGGCTACTGCCATGTGTCTCACAGGTAAATTGCCTACTTTGAACATAGAATTTCTTTATATCTAATTATATATTGCAATGTGGAAAGATTGACATTTTTTTACAATGATTGATGGAGAAGTAATTCAATGAACCTTTAACTTATAGGAGAATAAGCATCACTTCAACAATCCCTTCAGGGGTGAGCCCACACCAACATGGGCCACATGCACAATAGTGAGCACGTTTTATGATGCAGCTGGGTCTCCTCCATGGAACACATTTTCTCACTGAAGTCATTGATTCATACACGTCTAAGTAACACCACGTGACACTAAATCTCACATGTGAATACTTCAGGAGGCAGATGTACAAATACATATTCCAGAAGAAATGCTGTAAGGGTCATGTAGAGCACTTCTGTCCTAATGCACAACTTCATATGATACCCGCTATGCCGTAGGTGCTCAATGGTGTTCGTAGAATTCAAATCAATAGGCAAAGCTAAGCAAATTGACTTACTACACCAGACTTGCTTCTTATACTTGTCCTGGATATATCTTCAGGTGGCAAAGTGTAGATTACTAAAACAGAGTTTTAAGTCTATCATGTTCATAAACTTTTTCCCTCTTTGAGTTTATTGAGGATTCATGAATTCTAATAAAAATTTAGAAAAAGTTGGGTGCGGTGATGTGCCCCTGTAGTCCTAGCCACTTGGGAGATTGTGGCAAGATGATCATGACATAGTGAGACCCTGCCTAAAATAACACCACATACATATGCATGTACACATGCACACACACACACACATGCATGTACACATGCACACACACATACACAGACACATTCAGAGCAGGAAAGAAGTCTTTAATAATGTAAACAATAGTTGCTCCCGATCTTAGACTTCAGATATGTTTCTTCTTTTTTATTTTTTTTTTTGAGAGGTTTTCGCTATAGGGTGCGTGCGCTCGCCAGACAGACAGAGACATAGAGACAGAAAGCGAGAAATCACCCCCCAGGGGGGATGGTCACGCCGCAATCCCTTCTCCTCCATTCTCCTCTCGGGATCTTGGGCACTCACGCACACGCGCCCGGCGTGAGTTTTAAGTCACCGGGTCCGGGACGCAAACCGCGGTCGACTACGTGGGAGTCCAGCGACATAGCCATTACACTAACTGCTGGTTCCCTGTTTCTTCTTTTGAAGTTAGGTTCTGGTGTACAGAAGAGTGGAAATAAAGTTCCTGAATCAAGCTTCTAAACCAGAGATCAGCAAACTTTGACTGTAAAGGGCCAGATGGTAGATGTTTTAGGCTTCACAGGCCATATGGCCATAAGTACTCAACTTTGCTATTGCGCAAAAGCAGCCATAGACAATATGTAAATGAAGGAGCCTGGCTATATTCCAATAAAACTTTATTTACAAAAACAGGCAATGGACCAAATTTGGCCCACAGTTATAGTTTGCCAACTCCTGTTCTAAATTATTGCCAATGCAAAACACTCATTGCCTACTCTTTTTCTTACTCACACACTTATCTCATAAAACCAGTCATTGAAATCAATCCAGTAGAAGTCATTTTTAAATCATTATTTTGGTAGGATTTAAATGTTTCTGCTCCAGAGTGTGTTAAAGATATAAAACAACAACATTCTCCAGTGATAAATTTAACCAAAATGATGAGGAATTCTGCTTTGCTTAAAGAAGGAAAATGTACTTTTTAAATATGAGTGATTTGGGAGGATTTATTTATTTATTTATTTATTTTAATACATTCAATCACTATATATCATTACAACTTGCAAAATGAATTTTCCCAGCATGAATACAATATGAGTAATTGTTAATCATAATTTTCCTACTTTGAAATATCACCTATAAATTGAGAAGTGAGAAGACAATAGGGTATACAAAGGATTTATTTTTTTTTACAAAGCAACTGAAATATCTAATAAGAGAAAAATTTATATTATTTCACTGTTTTGCTGTGGGAAGATAGACATCAATATTTTTCCAGTTGAGTGCCTAAATGCAAAAATAATATCTGGTACCATGTAAATCAGGGGTTGACAAACTCTAGGTCACAGGCCATGTCTGGTGTTCTGCCTGTTTTTGTAAATAAAGTTTTATTGGAACCTGGCCAGCCCATTTTTTGTGTGTGTAAATCGTCTGTGGCTGCTTTCTTGCTACCACAGCATAGTTGGGTAGTTGCAGCGATGACTGCATGGCCTGCAAGACCTCAAATATTTACCATGTAGCCTTTTATTGAGAAAGTTTGCCAGCCCCTCAAAGTAGAAGAAACTGCAAAAATTTGTTCTGTTTACTTTTTGTCTAACATGTTTTCCCTCTATACAAAAGACTATTGTTTGCTTAACCTCCTAAACATATTTTCATGTTAAACTGAGGTAAGTTCATACCAGCTGTCTCTGGCCACACTCCTCGTTAAAAGTCAAAACAGCAGCAAGTCAACCGAATGTTCTTTGTAAGAAAACAGCCATCTCTAGGATAGTCTCATGATATTCCAAAAGCCTGTTTTGACTATCAGATATCTCCTGAAATGGTAATACCATCATGTCTGCTTCTCCACTGATGAGCATTCTTGACCCCTCCACAGCTCCCAACCCTCCCACAATTAGAGAAGAGCTCTGCACAGCTTCATATGACACCATCACTGTCCACTGGACCTCCGATGATGAATTCAGTGTTGTATCCTATGAGCTCCAGTACACCATATTCACTGGACAAGCCAATGTCGTTAGTGAGTATCTCACGGCCTATTTATTTCTTTATTTGGTGGTTGCTTTTAGGTAAAGTGCATTCCAGAGTTTAAGCATCAAAGGAAGACAAAGAAGGAAAGAGCACACAATATTTATTATTTTGTCTTTCCTGATGAAGAAAGTGCCAACAGTCAGTTATACTGCACTAGTAATAACAGCTGGCCAAATATTGATGAAAATTGACCTCTAGCAAACCACATACATCAGTCATATAAATATATTGTTAAGGAAAAAAGGCAGGAAACAAAAGAATATATGCAGCATAAATCCATTTATAGATTCATAACTTAAAGATCAAAATATTTTGCTTAGAGATACATTCATAGATGTTAAAATGATAAAAGTCAGGATGATGTTTTTCTCAAGGATGGGAGGGGAAAATGGCATCACTGGGAAGAATGTCCGGGGGCTCCTGGGGTGGATGGCAACTTCTGGGTAGGGGGTTACTTGCCTTAGTCATTGTATCATACATTCAATTTTATGCACTTTCATGAGTGTTATTTCATAATCTTTTTTTAAAAGAAAATATTTAATAAAACCAATAGTCAAAGGACACTGACTGCCTGGTCCCACTTGGAGAAGAACTGAGGCTGACATTTGAAATGTTCATTAATTGACTCCCTGGGAAGATTTTAGCCTTACCTACACACAGAGGGGCCTGGTTTCACAGAGGTTCTTTTGAAATGTAGTATCAGGGACAACTTGGCCATCTCAACTACCAGCAGTAGCCAGCCAGAGAGATGATCACAGAGAAAGCACTCGTCACCATTGTATAGTTATTGAAATTGAGAAAATGGCAAAGGATCAGAAGAAATAGCTTTTCAGGGGAGTAAGTTTTAAACTTTTTTAGTGGAGGAAAGTAGAATATGTCAAAGTAGACTGGAATAGAATAGCAGTCAATTTTCCACAAAGAGATATTTTGAATAAATACATATCAACTTAACATGCTTCTATTATATAAACCTTTTCATTCTTTCCTAGTACAAGTAATTATGAGGCACTCATGTGATTAAAATATAAATTTGATTTAGGATCAATTAAGAGTGATGCAGAATGATACCAGCTTCTAAGTGACAAGTATAAATGACCCATACCAACCAGTGGCTCCTCTACCTCTTTCCATGCACTTTTCCCAGTGTCTTCTCCTCAACACTCTCATCTTATACCCTCTTACTGGCTTGCTTTAGAAGCTTTAATTAAAGTCTTGCCATTTTCCAAGAATGTGTAATTTTGAAATGAAGAAAGTCATGAAATATTCAGAACAATCTTGGCAAGCTGTCAGAGTAGGTAGGGAAAATAGAGGGCAGAAATGGTCATGGGACAAAGACAAAGGGCCTTGGGGGAGGTTATGGTTAAACTCAAGTCTTGAAAGAGAGTGGATACATGTCAGCAAGTTGTTTCTTCTAGACAGTTGCATCATTATAGGAAAGCCTATAGAAACAAAGTAGCAGGGCATATTAGAAGAGTCTACCAAATTAAGCTAGGCTGAAGAGTTAAGTGAGGAAGGGGAGATAGTAAGAAATGAAGAGAGATAAATAGAACTAGAATTTAAACTCATATATATCTGGCCAGAAAGTTCATGTTCTTAATCATTAGTCACTAATTTCAACTCACAGGAAAGAGCTAGATCACAAGAGGGCCACCCAGACCACACCATGTTTGGAATCTGCCCTGAGGGCTTGGGAATCATGCAAGGCAGTAGTGTGATCAGATGTACAATTGGAAGGGACACTGTGGAGAGTGAAGTGGAACGAGTAGGGACTAGAAGGAGATAAAGAAGCTAGGACATTCATACCAATTCTTTAAGGCAGAAATAGCCAGGATGGGCAAATGGCACTAGCAAATGGCACTAGCAGCAGAATTGGAAAGGAAAGGATTATTCCAGAGAGACTTCTCTGCCTCTGGCCCACTGCCCTGGGCAATATCTGATTGTCCTCAGATATTTGAAGTGCTTATTGTGATAAGCCTGAGAAGCACTTCCATTGAAATGGTTTGATGTCATTTCACACCTTTCCAAGATATTAAAATTTTCTTTCATTCCTTATCCCTAGTCTGTATGCCCTGGTACAAATCATAAGGAAATATTGGGTCATTGGAAAAGTCATGACGCATTTTTGAGTAGGAAGATAGAAAAATATATGATGACTTATCCAACAACTCCATACTCACTCTCTAAAATCTTCTTGTATATGTGCATACCATTCACACTTCTTCATCTTGTTTTTGTTTTGTTTTTACTAAATAACACATCTGAGAGGTCATTTTATTTCCATACAAATGAAGGAACTGCCTCATTCCTTTTGAGGCAGCCTAGTATCCTATTATAAAAAGGTGCTCATAATCTATTTATCCCTTCTGCTCTCGTTTTCATTCTTTTGCCCTTATAAACAGTACCTCGGCGAATATCCTTGAATAGCTTTCCTTTCACACATGGTGAATTATTTCTGTAGTATAATCTCTTGACATACCATTGCTAGGAAAAGATGATTTGCATTTTAATTTTGGTTGAACTTGCCAAATTGCCCTGTGGAGAGGTGACATCTGAGTGTTTAAACTCATTCTTCAGCAATATGAGCGTATATTTCACTGATCTTGGATACATATACCATAAACTTAACATAGAATTAAAGTCCCATACGATTTTCAGACCTTGATTGTATTTCATCATAAATCTGAAATAGAAATTACTCTATAATCACTAGTGTCATAATAAGTAGTCACTCCTTCCTATAAGCAGCGATTTCCAACTGGGGGACATTTGGTAATGTCTGGGAATGTTTTTGGTTCTCAAAGCTTGAGGTAGTACCCAGCCATAGTGGCATACAGTGTAATCCTAGTGACTCAGAGAGGCTATGGCAGTAAGATTGACAGCTCAAAACTGCCCTAGGCAACAACATAGCAAGACCTATCTACGAAAGTGGCCATGGTGACACATGCCTATAGTCCCAGTTGGAAGGCCAAGGCAAAGGATGTAACATAGTGAGAACCTATCTAAAAAACAAAAACAAACAAACAAAAAACCTGGGGAAGGGATGCTACTGGCACTAAGTCAGTGGAGGCCAGAGATGAGAAGAAACATCCCCAAAACACACAGGCCAGGCCCCAATGACAAAGGCCTATCCTGCTTAAAACATCGGTAGGGCCAAGGTTGAAAAACCCTGATTTAATGTTATAGGATGAATTTTACCACCAAAAAATGGTCCGAAATTTCAAAGCAAGCAGAGAAAAGGAGAGCATGAAGAAGGTCTGAGAAGAACAGGTAGAAAATGGAAGCATGGTTCATTGCAGAAAGTAAACTAGAGTTGTAAGCATTGTATCAGACTCAAAAAAAAAAAAAAAGAAAGTTCTCAGAAAACATGAAGAGTACTGACAGAAGTAATGTCTGTTCATGAGCATATAGTATAACCAGTAAAACTAAATACTTGGAGTCATTTTGTTGGGTTGTCAGAAAAGTCATGATGTATTTTTCTATGCAAAAATGCATCATGACTTCTGATGACCCAATATACCTAAAGGATAATTCTTAGCCCATGAGAAATGCTATATTTCTCTGAAATCATTTTTTGCTTGATTTAGGAAAAATTATATCAGTTTTCTATTGCTATGAAAACTTTTCCAAAAGTTTGCAACTTAAAATAACATCCAGGGACCAGCAGATGGCATAGTGGTTATATTGCCATCGCTGGACTCCCACGTAGTTGACCATGATTCAAATCCCAGACCCAGCAACTTAAAACTCACACTGGGCACATGTGCATGCGTGCCCCAAATCCTAAGAGGAGAATGGAAGAGAAGGGATTGTAGCATGGCTATCACCCTGGGGGGTTATTTCTCACTTTCTGTCTCTCTGGCGAGTGCATGTGCCCTATAGCAAAAATCTCCCTAGGGAAAAAAATAAATAAATAACATCCATTTATAATTTCCATTTACATGTGTCAAGATTCTGGGCATAGTTGACCTGGACCCTCTTCTTGGGGTCTCACAAGGCTGAAATCATAATGTTGGCTGGGCCACATTCTTATGTGGAGGCTCAACTAAGGGAAAATCCGCTTGGGTGGTTGGCAGAACTTCTATCATTACTGTTGTGGAATTCATGGCCACTTGCTTCTTCAAAGTCAACAAGGAAGAAAGAGAGTTTGCTACTCAAGTTGCTCAACTTTGAACCCACTTTTAAAGGGCTTTCTTGAGTAGATCAGACTCACCCACAATAAGCTCCTTTCAACTAACTCAGAGTCAACTGATTAGGGACCGTAATCACATCTGCAAACTGCCTGCCCCTCTACTTTTGCCATGTAATGTAATATAATTACAGGAGTAATATAGATGATAGACCTTTGTGCTTTGCCATATCTGTTGGTTAGAAGTAGGTACACAGCAGGTGGCATATTGGTTAAGGTGCTAGACTTCCACATGGCCAACTGTGGTTTGAGTCCCAGACCTGGCAGCTTGCTTTCTTACTTTCCCTCTCTTTCTCTTTCTCTTTCTCTTTCTCTTTCTCTTTCTCTTTCTCTTTCTCTTTCTCTTTCTCTTTCTCTTTCTCTTTCTCTTTCTCTTTCTCTTTCTCTTTCTCTTTCTCTTTCTCTTTCTCTCTCTCTCTCTCTCTCTCTCTCTGGTAAGTGCATGTGTTCTATAGCTAATTTTAAAATAATAATAATAATCATAAATAAAATTTAATAAACAAATTATTTTTTTAAAAAAGAAGCAGGTTACTTAAAGTCATGAATATAAGGGAATGGGAATTCTGGGGGGCCACCCTAAGTCATGTCTACCATAGATGGTTATGTCTCTCTTAAATTTTCTTAAGTCAAATTATTATGGGCATTTGGGTAGTGCTTATGTAGCCTAGGCCTAGACCAAAGGGCCCTGTATCAGTTGGCCTTTGCTGAATAGCCAACAATATCAGGACTTAGCATGTAACAGTAGACATTTATTGTTTGTGTGTTTGAGGGCAGCTGTGAGGTCCTGCTGATCTTGGCTCCCT